GTCTTGCTCTTACATTTGGGCAACACTATTCGGGACTGTGACTACACTGACGAGAAAATACAATGTTCGAACTAGCACAGACAGGTTGGGCCTAAATTTCAAAGTACTGGGTATATATGAAAATAAAATAATTGTATTGTGTATATTTAATTTAGAATTATACATAACACAGACAGATCTAAGGGGCTATCGGGCTAAAGCACCTCTCCTCCTCTAAAATGGTAAAATATAACCATGTTTTATGGAAAAATTATCTCTTAAAGTATTATTGAGCATGGCAGGAACTTATATTTAGTACAAAACCTATTTCGAGCCTTACTGTAATAATATATGTGGGGATGAAATTTTTTTTTTTTTTTATTTATAAGATAGTTACAACTGTATACAAAAAATACATCTGGTAAATTCGCACATGGATATAAAGACATGAAACACATGTTGAGAAACTACCCATTGATAGTTTCAGTCTGGTATGAGGATTCCAAGTTAGACGTTTGTCCAGATGGAGTCCTAGGTAGGGATGAAAAATATAAAAACATAATTGGTTTAGACAATTAAAACACCGGTAAAGTGGACTTATTTATTTGTTTCAAACTAATGTAGAAAATCAATGGACGTTATTAAATAAAGTAGAAAATAAATAAATACGTAAAAAAAAATCTAATTATTGGATTTAAGTGTGGCTACAGATATTTTTAGACAAACGAACTACTTTAGATTGGTTGGAGATTAATTCGCTTATGTATATTTATTCTAATAGGATATTTAAGTATCTACAACTTTTTTAAAATGAATTTATTTCTCTGAATAGCTAAAACGATATGAAGGAATGTTTGATGAAAAATGTGAGGCAAAATGATGTTTTTCGAATAAAGAATTTATAATTCGAATAAAACCTACAAGATAAAAGTTTTAGAGAATTTTATAAACTTTAATTTATGCAACAATTATGACCTTTTCTTCCCCCCTCCCTTTCTCACTGGTTCACCACCTAGGCGTCAGGTCTTTTGATTGGGCCATTCACTGACTGGACTATTTCTAATAAATAAAAACTATCACCGAATAACTCTTGTGATGTACGTTGTTAGTTACGTAGAAGAGATAACATTTTCTCCTCAGTTATATGCTAATATCATTTTTTTCTTAAATTATTTACTTATGAAAATGATCAGTATAATAATACAATGGTTTGGTTTATGACGTATAGGCTCATCCTGTTTCGTAGTATTTTTTTGGGGATACAAAGGTTTGAGGTATCCCATCACGAACCGTTGCCCATACGATGCGTGAAGATGTGTCAAGCGTGAAAATAACGATTCTCGTCTTCCACGTTTCACGCCCACAGATGGATCTTCAAGCTATAATCAAGTTGTTTTCAAGGAGCTTATTTTCAGTACATTTCTTTAAAACAGTGGTGACGAGCATATAGAAGAATCAACTTTATTCTGAGACAAAGTTCCTTGAGGATAACAATATTGTACATAAAAATTAACATAACATCTGGCCAAAATGCATATTACAATAAACAAATAAATAAATTAATTAATAATAACAGAATTATTTAAATAAGGTCCTAATACTGCAAAATAGTTGCTACAAACAATAAACTACGGAATTCTAAATGAAATTTGAAATGAACGACAAATTACTCTTGTTGTCATACCATTATATTAATAAAAAAAATAATAATAAAAGAGTGGATACATATTTACTTTAAATGATTGACATATGTACCTTAATATGTTCAATGAATATAATAATAATATTATAAACATTATACACGTCCTATATCTTAAGATGTAGATTGATGGGAGAAAATAAAATATAATATACATATAGATGAGATTATATACATATATAATATACATGATAAATGGCTACCCAGCGTTTGATTGAATTGTAAGGAGGGATTGAAATAAGAGGGTTTTAAATATGGATAAAGATGGTGCATGGCGGATTTTAAGTGGTGTGGAATTTCAAAAGGTGGTGGAGCGGACAATAAAGGAGTGTTATATTATTACATTTTTAAAATATATTATTACATTTCAAATATGTGATGTAGTCCAAGAGATTAACGAAACGTCGAAGATCTATGAGATTTACTTGGAAAAAATCCTTCATCACCAGGCTTTTCATCACACTAACGGGGTTTAGGATGCCTGATTAGACGAATGTCTGATGTGTTTTTTAAAGTTTGATTTGGGAACAACACAAATAGTACATATATAATATATATTTAAAAAAAAATTAAATTTTCCACGAAACAAAAATTAGGTTTTTTTGTTGTTGTTTTAAGTGAAAACTTCTTTAGGCGCGTTTTGCACCTTTTTGTGGAGAGTTAATTAGATTGATCTGTCAGATTTCCGAAGTGTTAACGTAAAGTCAGCTAAAGCCCACTAATTGACATGTTTTTACGTATGGATTAAAATATCTTAGAAACTAAAAAATACAGTACGCTAGGAAATTATTCAGAATTTTTTCCTCTCTGTAATAGGCTATAATTCAAAATTGTATCTTAACGCGACTCCATGCTAAGGAGGCGAAAAAGAAAAAATAGTGTCGAAAAACAAATCATAACGAGTCTAGTTGAACATATGGATTAAAATGTTAAAATAAAATAGTAATAAAAAATTAAAATAATAAAAATCGGATCAGTATAATGTAAGCGAGGAAAATGGTTGAGCATTTCATCCTCTTTATAATGAGCTATTATTTATAATTTATATTTCATATTATTAATATAGCCTTGGTGTTTTCACTTCTATGGTGTGGTCTAAAGCACACACCTTAGTTTGATTTTGTTTTCTAATTTTTTGATAAAATATATTGAATAAATAATGTAAATACATCCATACAGTTTAATATTATAAAAACAAAGTTAAATATTATGTAATATTTATCTTAAAATTATTAAATATCACAATGGGAAATGTTCAGCAATTCAGCATTTCGTCCTCTTTATAATGAGCTATTATTTATAATCTATAATAATAATAATAAAAGGCTTAGCGAAACCGAAGGTTCGATGCCGACACCACCAATCGCTTATTACACACCTCCCTCCACCGTTCGCCGTCCAAACCCAGTCCCTTCAGTTCGGCTTTAATGCAATCTTCCCACCTTCGCTTCGGTCTACCCCTCGGACGCTTACCATTCGGCACAGCAAACATTAACCTTTTAGGAATTCTCTCGTTACTAAGTCCAACAACTTTACAAGCCCATTTGATTCGCCGAGATGAAATTACCTCAATTATATTACCCGGATACAGCTCACGCAATTCGGCGTTGTGTAACCGTCTGAACTCTCCGGTTAACTCATCCTTCTTCGGTCCGAATATTCTACGCAATACTTTATTTTCAAAAACCTTAAGACGCTGCTCATCCCTTAATGTAAGCGGCCAAGTTTCGCATCCATTAAGAACTGTAGGCAAGATAATTGTTTTATAGATTCTAATTTTTAAGTTCCGGAACAAGAGGCGCGAACTGAGTAGTTTTGTCACAGAAAAATAACAAGCATTTCCCGCTTCAGTCAAACCTTAATCTCTTCTTCAATTTCGGTTTTTCTAGTTATCGTAGAACCTAGATACCTAAATTTCTCTACCTGTTCAAACATATTACCATCTATATCGATATCACCAGTAGTATCGCCATTTTTGCTGGTAACCATATATTTTGTTTTATCCACGTTTATTTCGAGTCCTAGTTCTTTACCGGCTTTCATTAACGTTGTCGTATTTAGTTTTATAGTTTCAACATCTTCGCTTAACAGTACCAGATCATCAGCATAGCCCAGCACGGATGTTGTCCCACCCAGATCCAACCCTTTCTCGGTACGCATTACCTCCCTAATCGCATGTTCTAATTTTTTTTAAATTTAATATTTGTTTTATTAAAGTCATATTGAGTGCAAATTCTTATTACTTATCATCCTATGTCCCACGGTTATTTTTATTATTTGGTTTTGTTTTCACTTTCCGGTCTGTGTCATTGCCTGAAATCCAATAAAAAATTTTACCCCGTTTGATCGTAATCATGTGAGGAGCAGACAGACGAAATGTAGAAAACCAAGCTCAAACAGGGCTTAAATGTGTCCTTCATCAATGAATGCATAAGTAATCTTTTGTGTAAATATAGAATGCACTAATTTATTTGGCCCTTTTGTAAATTAATATAACTTCATTATAATATACAATGCTATGTTATGAATGGTTACAGAATTTATTACAACGTGAATGATGAATGTGTAATAGAGTACATGACACAAAACCACAATATCCATTATTTAGCCATTAACGATTTCCCAGGTATCGCCAACCAGAGTAAAATATGTCTAAATGAACACAATAACTGAATAACAAAGAAGAAAAAAAAATATGCCACCCAATATAATGATTATATTTGTTTTAAAGCTTCTAATTTCTTTTTTCTAGCATTCCTTTTTTACTTTCTTACCTATATTAGGTAAGGAAACTATTGCGATCAGATCAAATTTCTTATATGTTGTTTTCGACGAATCTATACGTTTTAGAGCCCCCTGATTTTTTGGAGGAGGACACACCAGATTTTTTGGTTTTACTGTACATATTTAAATATATAAAAACTTTTCTGAAATATGTAGGAAAGACGTGTGAGTGGACACACCAGATTTTTTCTGTTGTATCTATAACTTTATAAATACATTGAGACCTTCCTATAATTTATTAGTTGTACTATTACACCCGGATCAAGGGCTAAAAAAATACTCATTTTAGGATGTGAATTATGAAAGTATGTGTTAGTCAAAGTAAAATGAACCTTATCTAAACTGATCATTGAAATATTTTTTTATTCAAAAATATAGGTATATTTTTCTCAACCCAAATCTTTAAATCCAGAAATGTTCAATGATCAAAGAGTTTAAGAAGGAATCATGTATCCTTTGAAAATAATTAATTTCAGAAATATAAATAATTAATTTAGATCTCTCAATTCCTTATTGACTATTTCCTTCTGTTTTCCAGGACCCGAAGGCTAGCAGTGACATCAACGACAACGACTCCGATCCGATGCCGAGAGATAACGGTGATAACAAACATGGGACAAGGTGCGCAGGAGAGGTCGCTGCTATCGCGTTCAACTCCTACTGTGGAGTTGGAGTCGCCTATAATGCTTCAATTGGAGGTGAGCTCATAATACTTTTATATTACATAGATAGATAGGTATGTTTATATAATACTGGAGTCCGGAGAAGAGAAACACCAAGGAAGATTACACAAACAAGCACTAATAAATAGTACACTAATTTGTATTTGTATTTGAATTTGAAAAAGTGTAGTATTGTGTTGTTGTGAAGTCATGTATAATATCCCACAAATGCAAACACTCGTGTAACCTAATAGGAAGGAAGGGTATAAATGTATGTGAGTGTGTGTGTATCCTCTATCCATTTTACATATGTATATATATATATATATATATATATATATATATATATATATATATATATATATATATATATATATATATATACTAAGTACCAGATTTTAATACAGAAAAAACCCACAAAATATGCCATATAATATACAATAAAAAAAACATGAAAAATGCAGTAACTGATCTCTAAATATGCAAAACTTACTAATTTGTCAGTAACGTATTTAAATATAATTATGGGCCTACAGAAAGTTTTGAAATAGAATAGAAATTGTATGTGAATTAAAAATCAAAATAATTTAATTTTTTTTTAATATCTAAACTTAAGAATTAAAATAACTAAAAATATAAATATAAATAACTGAAGTAAGTCATTCGACTGTTTCACATATCATGGGTGATAAATATTCAGGACAGCATCATTATAAAGTTTTTATTTGTCTCGACGTTTCAACCCAAACATGTGTTTCAACAAAATATTTTAATACAATCAGAGATCCAATATTATACGACAGATAATGGTTGATAATAACAAAATAGTGATTGAAATATGAAAAATATAAATTTGATGAAGTATGTAAAAAGTTATACTAAAAATAATGTATATAATCAATTTATAAAAATTAATATTTTCTCTTAGTCATCGTGTTTTGAGCACTGAAGGTATTCATGTACTGACACTTTGGCAAGTCCGTAAAAGTATCGTTGGAGAATTTCCCAGATGTGCTTTTAAGATAGCAAAAGGTAGGTAAACATAGTCAGAGGGGGGTAACATATCTGTTAGTAGAATGCAAATAATTTGCTAACTAAATTATTCAAGATGTAAACAAGATTTGCGTTGTTTCTTATAGGCACAAAATTTTGACTATTGGCTAGTAATGAAATAAAAATAAGTAAGAGATGCCAACCATTATAAACATGACCTAGTTTGATTAAAGGTATACAATAGTTAACCGAAAATACAACAATGCATTGAAATGGTAAGTAGTACAATACACTATAAGATACCTTAGCCCAATTTTGTCAAACAATAATTTTTATTAAAAGTAGATAGAAACTTGTGTGATGCGGTCAACAGATTTTCTTACTTTCATTTACTTTTCTTTTTTCTCTCTCATTCTCCCCTTTCTGACACTAGGATATGAACCCGTAATCTGACATTGGAAATTGATTGGTAAACTCTCATTTTTTGTAAGGGGATTTTTGTATCCCTATGATAAAGCTTATTCCTAATTGTCATGGAAATTTAAAAACATTTAAAAAAAAATAAATATGGGATCGAGCTTTGGGGCTCTATTAAACCATCAAATTCCTCTCCTATCCAATCCCTATAATCAAAAATCCTTCGTAAAATCCTTAATGCTCCCTACTTTGTCACAAATAAAATCATCCATAATGACCTTAATATACCATATGTTTCCGATTTAGCTCAATCCAGATACCTGTCCTTTCATAATAAACTTCTGAACTATCCGAACCCTCTCGTTTCCAACCTTGCTTACTCTTCTATTCCTGATAACCTTCCGAGGCGTCTGAAAAGAAGATGGCTCCGTGATCTCCTAATGTAGAAATATAATTGGAGTGCTACCAATGGGTAGTTTCTCCACATGTTGTACATGTCATATTTCTTGTTCATATTTACTTGTTGTATTTATTATTAATTACAGTTGTAAATTTCGTTAATAAAAAAAAAAAAATAAATAATTTTACATGTCTCTGCTGCATTCCGTACACAGGTCAGAAGCCTAAGATTTTTTTTATCCATCATCTCCTTTTACGAATTTTAAGACTTCTTTCATTTTATTTTGTTTCTTATTGTATACTAAAGCATACAAAATTGTTTTTTGTTTTGATTTTTTGTGTCTGTCTATGTTTCTGATTGGAAATATATGGATTTTGAAAACATATGGATCCACTTTTTTTTTTTTTTTGCTTATTAAAACTTAAATCTTTATTTGCACCTGTTACCTCTGTCAAAAAGCTCTGCACCTACTGATTTGTATCCGGCTATAGGACATTAGAAAGCCAGGACAGAAGATGAAATTTACTGGGCTGCTAGACGTCGCATGGCCGAAAGAGCTCAAGACGATCAAGGCATAGGGCAAAAGAAAAAAAAATTGTCAAAAATCAGCAAATCTGCTCGAAATACAAGGTATAAATGACATACCAGCCTCGGGAAAATAAAGTACTCAGCAGCAACTCTTTCGTGACTTGTTTCAATTACTTAAGTTGTTTGAGGAAGGAGATCTCTCATCTTTTTAGTCTCCTCCTCATGTTCTGGGGTATGTCAGCTGTGGCCATGTCTCTGATTAATCTGTTGTCCGTATAAATTAGTATAAAATCGTTGATAAAGGGTCTTTATATATTGTTCAACTGTTTGAAGGTAAAAATCAGTATAGAATGGTGCTTTTGTTCAGAGTCGCAATAATGTTGATTGGAAGGTTTGGAGATTTCGTAAGTGGGTCTTTTTATAAGCGATACCGAATATTTGTGAGTATATCCATAAGCGTTAAAGTAAGTTTCTATATGTATTCAGTTTCTATCTTAGTTTCAGTTTGGCAGATTTAGAAAAAAGAGAGTAAAGTCATTTTAGTCGTTTGTTAAGTGTCTTACGTTTCATTTTAACATGCGGACACCATGTCATCCTTCTGTCGAAGGTGAGTCCAAGGTAAAGTACCGTGTCCGTTTGAGGAATTTGATTGTTGTCAATATAAACTGGAGGGCAGGTGTTTTAATGAAAAATAATCTTACTTTTTTGACTATAAAACTTTTTCTATTGGTGGCCCGCGTTGGAAATTTTGTTGTATACATGTATAAACGAATGTTCTCGAAGAGTAAATGTTATATGTACTTTAAATGTAAAAAAATGAACATTTTCAAATATTATTAGAAAACAATTAATTTTAAGAGACTATCGACAATCAGCCGTATCTAATTCAACCACAAATTCCTATTCCTTTGTTTTTCAAGCAATTTAATGCGTTGTCCTTCTCTTCAAGTGAAATGATAGGTTCATTAATTCGACTTATAAGTTTCTGTAAGGATGATGTGAATAAAATATAATGCTGAATAATATCAAATAACAGATTAACAGACGCCCTAACATCGAGTTCAAAGAGGAAATGAAGTCGGACGTAGGATCAGCTACAACTTGGAGCAGAATAAACTCCAGAACCCAACGTCATATTACCTCAGGTAGTTTTCAGCCTTAACTGGCTTCTTTTACTGCCACTCCGACCATTACTCCTGAAAAAGAAATTACATCGGGAAAATTTTTGGCTTTTCCAGAGCTAGTAGTAAAAAAAAACAACCATAAAAGAAGTGAATTTAGCCTGAAAGGGTCACTATATCTCCAGCTACATTTTTCTTGACTTTTAATGCAACGGGATATGGCTCCATAGTAAAGGGAATACACCGTGTCTGGAAATAATTTTAGCTTTTTTACTTCTGTGTTCTATTATTATTAAGTTATACTATCTTTAGTTGTTAAAGTTCAATATTTGAAATTACAACTTTAATAATGCAATAATGTAAATATATATTATTTATATATTTGTATTTAGTTTATATAGTTGTGAATTGACTAAGAAGAGTATATAATAAATAAAATTATGCACTGGCGCATCAAAGGAGGAGAGAGGATTTCTTCTCCTGGTATTTTTGATTAATTATATTAAACAATAATTAATAATTAATTGTGGGTTGATGGTTAACTGTAATAATTGTATTTATTTTCACATTAGGCAACGTTTCGGCCCAAAGACAGTCTATAGCAATAGACAGTCTATCTATTGCTGTCTATCTACGCTTCTTAGCAGAACAGTCCTGATGAAGAAGTGAACTTCGAGCCGAAAAGTCGGCGAATGTGAAAATAAATATAATTATTTGTTTTTACTATTTTATTTTGACTGATCAACCCAACCATCCTTCTCTTCAATAATTAATAATTATTTGATAACTTCAGTATAATAGAATAACCAAAAAAAATTTCATTCTACCAAAAACTTACATTTTTATTGATATTTTCTCTTTGTGAATTTATTTGATTAATATCTTATAACTAAAAAATAACAATTATATCGTCAGTTTACCGCAAAAAGAAATGTAACTAAGTACATTTCTTTTTTAAGCTGAACTTTTAAGTTCCTGAATTTCGACCTTACTACAATCTATCGATCAAAATGCATAAGCCTAAACGCCTTAATCGATGTACCAATTTTAATGAAAATTGTTTTAAGTATTCTCTTCGAATCCCTATTTCACCGAAATGAAAATTTAAGAAAAAGTTACGAGGAGTAGTAAAATTAAATTATCGAATAGCTCAAAAAATATATACTTTTTTATTGTTTATGATCTTTTTAATGATTAGGGAATATCCAATAAAACAAAAAAAGAACCGTTGAAATCGATCGATTTGCTGCAAAGATGTGGTATTCTAAATTTGTGTTCTACTGTAAAGACCATCTCCTTTTTTTAGTTTTTGATGTTTGGAAAGTCATAAAGTCCGCTTAGACATTTCACAAACTATAGGAAATACAGATATTTAAATGTTTTTTCTTCTAAGGTAGTGTTTTAGTTTCTTGTTTATGATGTTTTGTATCTGTTTTTGGTAACAAGAGAAAACATCTACTGAAGCAAACGAGATTTCTGTCTATATTTCTTAGGAAATTACTAATAATAAAAAAACATATTTTGGAATAATCTTTTATTTATTTTCCTCTATGTGACGAGAAAAGCAGTATTAATTT